AATTGCAGACTACTGATAGATACAGCGATGCGGCCCAGTTTTACTGTTTTGGAGTGAGTGCCATGCACTGGCCTAACACTGGCTGCGTTTGGCTGCTCAGTATTGAAAGTTCTGGCAGTCTTTCCCAGAGTCGAATCATGCTTTTCGTAGGGTTCACGTAAAACTATTTCACCCAGCCAGTTCTGAGGTAGCCACGAGAAGAGAAGACGTCTGCAACTCGTTGTTTCTGAGCATCTCGCTCATGATACGCAGACATAATGTTACTACATTTTGGCATTTCAGTGTGGGCTCTACAGTAATAAAATTCGCGGTTGCCTTGTTCTGGATAGAAATAGGTTCTTCATGGGTTTTCATGTGGATCTATTTCGAAAGGTTAGTCGTAAAACATCTGCGTGACGCTGACTTGTCCATGTGCTGTCAGGCTGCTAGCAGCATTCACCCACTCGCAAGATGCAAACGAGCTTGGGGCACTTTGAAGCGTATATTATAAAAATCCAGGAGTAACATTTTGGAAGTGGAAGATGAAATGTAGTTGCATTTCAGGAGCTTTGCAAAGGCTTTCCGTCGGAATTCGGAACATGTATGAATTATTGCCGCAAGCTAAAATTTGACCAGAAACCTGAATATAACTATCTTAAACTGTTATTTCGCCATTTGTTTAAGAGCCTAAATTTCAGAGTAAGCATCATTTTGATCATGCCACTTACACTCATCTGATCTGCCAGACGTTGTTCACGTTTTTACTTGGGGTTTTTAACAGACTAAAGTGTGAAATTAATCACTGTTCTGGAGGAGTTTTCACTAAAAAGGAGCTTCTATGGAAATTCTTTCACAAAATCAGTCTTTGTACACCAAATAACAAAGCTATAAATGAACCAAATTCACTACTTACTGCTGCGGGCAATGAGGAGAGATTTTTAAGCTCAAATGACCGGAAACGGAAGTACCCTCATCCTGCCACCGGCATCCCCACGGCTCCTCACTCTTCTCTCGCTCCGTCCTCATCTCACGTACGTTTTTCACTGGGCTGTCGTACCATTCTCTGGCAAAAAGCTGAAAACTGCTGGATCCCTGTGCTAACAGCATCACTTGGAATTTCTGGGTCAACTATAACACTACAGCTTAGTTTTTACTCAGTTTTGCCGGCCGGTAACTGTTAGTTGTATTAGCCAGTGCCGCATTGTCTAGAAATCAACCCGATGGTGATGCTGCAGTCGTTTCATCTCCTCAGTGAGCATCGCCATGAAATAATAAAAGTAAAAATAAGTGGACAGAAGTAAAGTAAGAGAAATACGCAA